AAGGGGATAACTCTGATTCTATAATCAGGCGTTTAATGAAAATGGACCGAGGAATCAAAGGTAAATGGTTTCCCTAAAACTTACATTTGGCGGTAGCTTATAGATTTGAAAAGTTCTAAGCAGAGGGGAGAAAGAAATGTAACTGTCTTGCTTAGGCACAGCTGTGTGATACTATGGAAAGAGTATTGGGGCCAGAATCAGGAAATCTGTATTTTTGGGACTTGACTAGGTAGCTTGGTGACTTTCCTATGTCACTTAAGCTCTAAAGTGACATCTCTTTCAGTAATATAAAGGCAGTCAATTAGATATTTTTCCAAGACTCCATCTAGTTCTAAAACTGTAATAGGTGTTTTTTGTGTCAAAGTTGATTTAGAATTATAGGACATGTATCTTTCATATTCTAAACTCGCTTGTTCAGCTGGGTCTATTCCTGGGAAAGGAAGGGAAACTGAATAAAAGTTCTTGAGTGTTGCCATGTATTAGCCATTTAATTCTTTTACAACCTATAACATAGAAGGTATTTTTTTTTTCTATTTTTCTTGTCTTTTTCATTTTTATGGGTACCAGGGATTGAACTCACGACTGCACACTTGCAAGGCAGGCGCTTATGCTGCTGAGCTAAATCCCCAGCCCCTGAAGGTATTATTATTCTCCTTGTATAAAATGGAGGCTTAGAAAAGCTAAGTAACGTACCAAATTCATTCAGCTAGTAGTTCTTGGAGCTGGAATTCAAACTTGGATCCATTTGACTCCAAAACTCAAAGTTTTTCTTCTAAGCAGTGTGCCTCCTAGTGAAATATGTAAATAATCTCATGTTAGAGTAAGTCTGCATCTTCTGTGATTAGATTGAGTGTGACAATTTATGACTTCTTTTTCATCCCCAAACAGGTCATAGGCTGAGCAGAGTGTGAAGAGAGTTAGTGTATCTTTGTGTTGTTTTTTTAATTAAGAAGACAAATTTATGGTGACATTCTCTGTTTTTCATAGTCTCTTTTCTTTATTTTTTACTTTTGTGATGCTGGGGTTCAAATCCAGGGCCTTGCTTATGTAGGTAATTTCTTGGCTACAACTCTAACCTTCTGTTCTTTTTTTTGATAGCAATCACTGTCGAACCATTCTGTCAGTCTAAACGATTTCTAAAAATATATTTATAAACCTCAGACAGTGGCCTAACTTAAGGATCCCTATTCAAGATAGTAATGTCTTTTTAAAATAGAAGACTTGAGATTTTCTGCCATGTTTGCATACAGTTACTCATTTCCCTTCTGTGGACGTCTGTTTGGGGAGTTGGTACTTGTATATAACGCACCTTAATTCTTCTTACATCCTTTCACCCTTCCTTCCCACCTTGATGTCTTGGTCTTCTAGGGATCCTTTTTTAACTATGAGAAAATACACATGATGTAAAATGTAGCATGTTAGTTGTTTTTAAAGATACCCTTCAGTGGTATTCATATATTTACACTGTTGCACAACTGTCTTCACCGTGCATCTCCAGGACTTCTTCATCTTTCCAAACTGAAAGTTTATACTATTAAAACCTAAGTCCTCGTTCTGCTTCCCGCTGGACCCTGGTGGCCTCTCCTTCACGTCACGTCTCTTCTGTGTGTTTGATTGATACAGTCATGTAGTACTTATATAGATTAGATACATTTCCCATAGATTAGATACATTTCTGTATTTATTTCCTCTGACTATTTTTAAAAGATGGAGTGTCCCTTGCCCAGGATGGCTGTCACCTCCGGACATGAGCAATCCTCCCCGAGCCCCCTGAGTAGCTGTCACTGCAGGCATGTGCCAGCATACCCCGCAGCACTTGTCCTTTTGTGTTGAGTCTGTTTCACTTTGCAAAATTTCTTCAAGATTCATTTATGTCATTAGAGACATTTTTTATGTTCTCTAGGTAAACTGGATGCCATAGAGTGATACTCCATCCTTGGACTTGCCACAAGAAGCAGAATTTCGAATTGGGAAATAGGAATATGTAGGAAGCCATTTTGTGGCTTGCTGTATTATATTGCATATTTTCAATCATGAGAAGAGTTATATGTGCTTTTTTTTTTTTGGTATGAGAAGAGCTTTTAACAAAATATGTAAATATAGATACAGTTTAAATAGGTTCTTCAGAGTTATACTGATGTGTTTTCTGGCTCTTATCTTTTCTCATGGAGCCCTTGGCTTAATTCTGACCTTCATTATACTAATGAATAATATTATCACATAATGTTTTAAGTTTAATGTTAGTACCTGCTGTAAATTTTAGAAAATGGATGAAAACATTAGGTGGAGTTTGAAACTGATACTCCTCCAAGAACCTGCAGAAGAGACCTGACCTTGATCCTCTTCCACAAGCCCTCAGGATGCTTTGATATCTAAGGGGCTGAGTGTATTGAGCATATGAGATGGAAAAGGAGCTAAATTCAATAACATAGTTCTTAGTCCGTCAGCTGCAGTAGCTGGCAAGTCATCCAATTAGTGCCGATTGTATTGAGAGCGATTATGATCTAGGTCCAGGAGGAACTAGACTAAAATATCATTTCACTCTACAAAGGCCACTGAGCAGCTATTTAATAATAATGACTTTAATTCACTCACAAGCCATGCCACATATGAACTAATAACTTGGAGGTGAAAGGCTCCATTTCACATTATCAATCCCCAGGGACTTTCAATCACTCTCATCTTTTCTCTAAATGCCTTAACTGTTGGGTAGCTGCAGACTTAAATTTCAACATTTTCAATGATAAGAGAAGTTTGAGATAAAGATAGTAAGACCACTAAGAAAACACCTAGAATATATTAGCAGTAATGAACCACATGGTGAAATATCGAAGCAAATGTGTTTTGTCACTTAAAAGCTTGATTTGAGTATTAGGTTTATTTGAAATACTTTCAATTGGAATTGCTTAGGAAGACTTTTTTTTTTTTTTGGTAAGGAGATTTTCATATATAAAATCTACTGGCAGGACTCGTCCCTGCTTCTGTAGCAAAATATTTGGTACCACTGATGCACAAATTGAATTGTATTCTTCCCTAAAATTAGACCATATCTCTCATGAAGATTAGGCCCGCTCCTTTCCCATTTTAATTTTCAGGGAGTGTGCAGTGTCTGGGGGTAGATAGTCTGGTCTCTGCAGAGATGCTTCACAAACTCTCTGACAGGGTTTGCTTTCGCGACTGTAAGCCCTAAGATCTGTTCTCTAAACTTGTGGTTCTTTAGTCGTTTCTCGAAGAGAACACAGTGCTTGGATAACTTATGCTCCTGATATCACTGCCAGCTGTGATAAGCTTATCTCTTATCCCTCTCATGCTAAGCTTTGTACTCTCAAGGCAACATGAGGAAGTGTGGACCACCCAGGGATCTGTTTTAAGAAAAGGATAGAAGTAATTTAGAAAATATCTTCTAGGGCTGGGGATTTAGCTCAGCGGTGTAAATGCCTGCCTTGCAAGCGTGCAGTCATGAGTTTGATCCCTGGTACCAAAAAAAAAAAAAATAAATCTAGTTTTTTGGGTCAGGTTAAGTGTAACTAGCCATTCTATACTTAGAATGAGATATAATCCAAGAATCAGCATTTATAGTCATGTGTAGTGTTTTTTCCAGTATGCAAAGCCATTTGATACTGGGAAGTCTCAGAATTGCTTAAGAAAATTTCTTCTGGACTCAGTTTTTCACAGGATTCACATATCATAAATTTGTTCATGGGACAAGTGCTTTTCTTTGGTGGGGGGAGGCAGGGGCTATCTTAGTTTGTACAAGGATATGTCAGGAAAATATCAAGTAGAGTAGCACTGGCGTTCAAAGCTTAAAACTCAAAATTATATACATTCCCTCTGCCCTCCTTCTATATTGTCTCTCAGCAACTTGTTAATAGATACACTTTCATCTTTTGAGCAAAACAAGAAATGGGTAATAGGATCTCTTACAGTAGTAATTATTTTTCTAAATGTATCTCTGAGAAAAGCTTCAAGTCTTGTAAGATTGAGGTATCTCAAAGAGCACAAGAGGAAAGAAGTTTCAGACTTTGATATTCCAAAGAATGTTTACTTGAAGCACATAAAAGTACTTCATAGATCATAGTAGATCACATAGGTTAATGCTCAACAATACAAGCCAACTCTTTCTCTGACTTGATTTAACATTCTAGGAGATATGCTGTACAGAACTCTGATAATCGTTTGTTTGTTTGTTTTGTTTTTTGAGACATGGTCTTGCTATGTAGTGCAGGCTAGCCTTGAACTGGTCACAATTCATTATCCCGAGTGCTGGGATTACAGGCCTGTACCACCATGCCTGGCTTCTGACAGTCTTTACAGATTTGGGTAAAAAGCTGACCAGGGATGAAGATTTATTAGATTTTGACTTTGCACCTGAGATTGGGTTCTATTAATCCAATGAAATAATTTTTGCTTATATATAACAACCGGTGTGCTTGAATTTGAATTATCAGACTCATTCAAGGGTTCAAGTATTTGACTCTAATTAAATGCTTGTATTGATAATGTTTTCTGCTGTAGACCTTTCCCAAGTGAAACTGATGAGATTTGATGATCCAGTGTTGGGGCCTCGACGAGTTCCGGTGCTGGGCAAAGAGCACACTGAGAAGACCCCCATTTCTGAACATGCTGTTTTCCACGTGGATCTCACGAGCAAGAAAATTCATCTCACAGAAAATGGCCTACGGGCAGATATTGGTGATACAATTATCTACCTGGTTCATTAAATTCAGGCAACCTGGAGATTTGTCAAGGTCCAAGATATTGTTACTCTGAGAACCTACATAGATTTTATTTTTTACTTTCAAATTCTGCATGTAATCATAACTATGCCAAGTAATCTTTGATTCTTAGACCTAATAAATTTTTTCCCCATCTATTTGGCCTCTAAAAGAAATTGTTTGTGCAGTGTTTTTATTTTTTTATTTTTTGAACAAATTACTGTCATTTCCTAGAAGCTTCTAGTTTTCAACACAAAAGTACTAGTCTACTTTTTTAATGAGATGTGCTGTATATGAAGGCTAGGAAGTGCCTCACAGCTTTTTACATTAAGGTATTAGCTATATTTCTTACTTAAAAATAGTAAAGTAGACAACTAGTTCTATTTTTTTAAATAAAGGATTTTTTTTTTTTTTTTTTTTTTGTCCTAGGAATTGAACTCAGGACTTCATGCTTGCCAGGTGGGCACTGTGCCACTGAGCTATTTCCTCAACACTTATCTTTTTTTTGAGACAGAGTCCCACCGTGTAATTCAGACCAGCTGTGAACTTACTATGTATGCTAGACTGGCCTCAGTCTCACAGCGATCCTCCTGTCACAGCCTCCCAAGTACTGAAATTACAGGCATGTCCCACCATGCCTGACAATAAGGGAGCTCTTATGATGATATAAAAGAACAAATCAGAATATCTTAACTTAACTATAATCACTAAATATTTTATTTTGTTTGGTTTGGTATCGGGGGACTGAACTCATGCCTTCACATTTGCCAGGCAGGTACTTATGCCACTGAGCTAAATCTCTGGCCCACTAAATATTTTGTATAAAGAATATATACATACTATATTTCATAAGACTTTAAAACTTTAATTTTTTTTTTTTTTTGTCTTTTGCTTTTTTATTGGTACCAGGGATCGAACTCATGACTGCCTGCTTACAAGTTAGGCGCTTATGCCGCTGAGCTAAATCCCCAGCCCCAAGACTTTAAAACTTTAATATATTTAATTAACTAATTGTTTTTCAAAGCTAATATTAATAGTTTATAATTAGTTTATCTACATTAAATGTAGGCAGCTAGGAAATCTGTTCCTAGGGAATCTCTGTTTCACAAATTCATTTCAAGTCTGTTTAAAGAACTTGCTGACTGTATTATAAACTTAACTCTTTTACTCTATCTAAAAGACCTTTTCATAATTATGCCTCTGTCTTGATAGGAAAAAAATGTAAGGTATTGATCAGCAGAGAAGGAAATGTTTCTGTTCTTATGAGTTCAAATAGGGAAACACCAGTTTTGATAACCCTAAGGCATCTGAATTCTAACTCCGGAGGTCCTGCGAACAGGTTTCTGCCGCTTCCTTTTTTATTCTGCAATGCAGCATTACACGGTCTGGTTGAGTGTTTTATCAAAGGTCTAGTGACACAAATCATAGTTTTAAGCTGAAGGATCCCTTAGAAACCATGAAGTGCAGTTCCCTGTGTATCTGCTCAGGCTGGGGAGTGGCTGGCACGGTGGACCACATGCTCAGAAGTTGAGTATTGTGGTTGCCTCAGGCTGCCAGCTCTGTGATTGGCTACGTTGTGGTCTTGGGTCTTACTCAGCCTTGGCTCCAACTATAATGGGAAACTAATAGTGGTACCTGCTTTGTAGGTTGGGAGATGTTTAGGTGTAATCTAGGAATAGCGTATATATGGCATGATGCCTGGGAAGTAGCAAGTCTTCAGTAAACGTGACTGATAAATAATGATGGGAATAATATATGAGCATATGTTGTCCTAAGATTGCTGTATGTCTTAATTATGCTGTTTGTATCTGGGCAACTGTTTTTTCTTTTCTTTTTTTCTTGAGACAGGGTCTTGCTAAGTAGTTCAGGCTGTGCTTTAACTCACTAGATCCTCTTGTCTCACCTTCCCAAGTGCTGAGATTACAGTTGTGTGCCATCATGCCCGGCTTGGGGTGACTTTGTTTGTTTGTGTTTGATGGTTCCGGGATTGATGAGCAGCTGTGTCTTTGTTTATATTCTTCTGGTTCACTCCTTTGTTGCTGTTCATTCTGAACAACCTTAATTGTTTGCTAAGTCAAATAATGCTTCCCAGGACCTAAACACAAGGCTCCATGTTTACCTTAGGCACTAAACTGTGTGTGCTCCCTCTCTGTGCTCTTCTTCTTCTTCTTCTTCTTCTTCTTCTTCTTCTTCTTCTTCTTTTTCTTCTCCTTCTCCTTCTCCTTCTCCTCCTCCTCCTTCTCCTCCTCCTTCTTCTTCTTAAAAAAAAAAAAAAAAAGGAAAATCATGACTGTGTTGGCTTTGTCTCGATTCCACCTGTGTGTCTCAGATGAGCTTGTTGTGAGGCTAAACATGCTTCTCTTGTTTGAAGGTAAGTTTTGTACAAGGAGGTGTCTAAGCATAAGCGATGCTCAGCTACAGCATCAGCAGTTTGTGATGGTGCTCGAGGAGAAACAGGCTGCATTGGGCCTGTTGTACTGATAGCATGTTAGTGCGTTCCCAAAGTATTTACCTCCTCTTTCAACGTGAGTATAATGTACACGTGCAGAAAATGAACAGTATTGTCTATTATATGCCCCATCCTACTCCCTCAAAATTTGTTAGAAAAACAAACATCTGTGTAGTCATTAGTCAAGAAATAGCATAATGTCAGCCCAGCAGAAGCCAGGCCAGACCTTTTCTACCAGGCATTGTGACTCGGTGTGTACTTTTGCCTCCGCTGCTGTACTTGGAATTGAGTCTAGGGCCTTCCCACTGAACTACATTCAGCTTTTAAAAAAATGTTTGTTTTTCTTTTTTGAGACAGTCTTGCTAAATTGCCCTGGCTAGGCGAACCTCTGCCTCCGCCTCCCAGGGTGCTGGGATTATCGGAATGCGCCACCACACCTGACGGGTCAGGTTTTGTAAATGTTCAGTTTGAGTTTAAAAAGAATGTGTAGTCTACAACACTATGTGTACCCAGTCGGTGTGAGAGTGGCAGACAGTTGTTCAAACCCATAGATAGCCCTACTGCTTTGTTTTCTGTTTTTATATTTTCTGTTTTGAGAGTTGTACTAAAATCCTTTGTGGCCGTGGATTCCCTTATATCTTCTTACAGTTCTGATTGCTTTTTATTTCTTTTGAGACTGTGTTCATAGGTGCAATCTAAATTGAGATTGTGTCATATAAATTTTGGTAAGTTGATTTTTTTCCTGAAAATTTTCCTCTTTTATTGTTTTACTTGTTGACCAAATGGCTGCTTTTTGTAACATTAATTTAATAGCCTAATTTTCTCTTGGTTATTGTTAATGTGAAATATATTTTACATCCTTTTACTTGTAGTCTTCTGTAGCTTTATTTTATTACTTTATTTTGGCGAACATAAAGCCTACGGAAAAATTGAGTAAGCATTCATATACCTGTCACGTAGATTTCCGAACTGAGATTTTGCCACATTTGCTTTGTCTGCCTCTGAATATGTATTTCTCAGACTTTTTATTTCAGACTAGTTTTGACTATATAAGAAAGTTGCATTTTATTTTTAAACCCCTTAAGATCTGGTCAAAAATAAAACATTTCATTTGGTGATCTGTTGATATCCTTTAAACTAAGAGAGTTTCTCTTCGATGACAGAAACCTTTTTTATTTATCAGGTTTTTTTGGTGACAGAGACCGTTTTAAAGATTAACCCATTTGTCATTGGATCCCTCTGTCTAGTTTTGTTTGTTTTCTCATGCTTAGAATGTTTAGGTCATTTTGTTGCTGTTTTTTGAGACAAGGTCTTGCTTTGCAGTGCAGGCTGTTCTTGAACTCACCATGTAGCCCAGGCTGGCTTCAAACTCATGGTTATCCTCCTGCTTCAGCTTCCTATGAGGATTACAGATATGAACCTCCTCTGCCCAGCTAAAATTGTCTTGAGAAGAGTACTATATGTGTAATTTGTACTACTTCATATGAGCATTAATATATTGTAGTTGTGTTCCATCATTGGTGGTACTTAGATCACCTAGTTAAAATGTCTGTGCGTTCTTCCACTGAGGTACTATCTGCATATTTAGTCTTGAATGCTTGTTGCCCTTCTCTCCTCGTATGTTGAAATTAACTCCCTAGATGATTGGTATTAGGAAGTAGGGCATTTACAAGGAAGACTTATGTCATGACAGCGGCTGCCTCATGAATGAGGTTCATGTCTTGTGAAGGGGCTTTGGGAGCTCTTCTGCCTTTCTCCATGTGAGGACACATAAGGATACTATCCTCTATGATCTTCACCATCACTTTGATTTTGGATTTTACAGCCTCCAGAACTGTGCCGTAAATTTCTGTTTATAAATTACCATTCTAAGATTCTTTGTTACCACAGCCTAGATGAACTGACACCTGTTCCCTACCAAGCTTTTACCAAGTGGTGACATTTGTGGGTAATCTGTCCTAATTTTATTGGTGGTTGTAATATGATGAGTTCTTAAACGTGGTTATCATTTCTTCTACCTGTATTAGGTATCATTCTCTACAAGAGGATTCTATAAATCAGAGTTTTCTTCGTCCTTTTCAAATAACTATGGACTGGTGTGTGCTTTTGTTTTTATTTTCTGTGGATGCTGTAATGAGTAGCCATTTCTTTGAATGCTCACATTTTCCTAAATCAATCAGTAGGGACCCCGTTCAGACTGGCGCCTGAGTCCTTTAGTTATCTCCCAATCAAACATGGAGCATTGCTTTCTTAACACCTGGCTCGCTTGGTGTTATTCTGTCCCAGAAGTGCTATCGATCTTTTCAAGGAACTCTACTTCATTTTAATAAAGAATATATTAAGAAACCAAGATCCAAGTGTTTTACATGCTTATTGCTATCAAAAACATTGCTTTTTTAAGCCTTCCCAATGGATGGAGATAAGAAATATATGTACCAATTGATAGAGCTAATACATATGTGTGTTTTTAAGTTGTAGTTTTACCTTAAACCACGTAATTTTTTGTTTTTGTCTTCTCCCCTTTCTACACAGAATTCTCGTTCCAAAGAACCTCACTGTATTTACTCAGTTGGTCTATTAGTAATTTCAGAATTACCATTCTAATACTACCATTAACAAATCTAAATAGAGCTCACATTTTTGTTTTGTAGGGTTTTTGTTTTTAGTTATTGTATCCTTAAAACATTTCACTGAGGGATACGGACAGAACACTATAGTCAAATATTTCTTGAATTGATTTTTTCATAAAAGCCTTCTAAAATATTTCTTAAATTATTTGTATGTGATTTCAATATAAGCTTATTGTTTCTTTTTATATTCAGTTTTACAGTTTGCTTTTTTTTTTTTAAAAAAAGTGTTTTTTGAATGAGCAAAATACATAGTTCAAAAGGTAAAACCATATCCATTCAGAGAATTTGTATTTCATGAACTGCTTCCCACTCTCTCAGTAGCTAAATATTATAATTAATTTCTGGGTTATATTTTCCATTTACATATTTTTTTTTACCAAATAAAAGGTCAAGTAATTTATACATTCTTTAAGTTTTTCTTATGCAATAGCTGTGAATAGAATTATATATAAAATTATTTTATACTTTTTTAAAGTTAACAACATAGTGTGGATGTTTTCTATTCTGATTTGCAGAGATCTTTCTTTCTCCCCTTCCCGTCTCTTCCCCTCTTCTCTCCAGTCCCCTACATCACACTGTTGGATAGGTGTACCATAACCTACTAATCCAGTCTCCTGTGGCTGGGCCTTCTAACTTCTAACTTCTTGGTATTTTATAGACTTTTTCTAGATTGTGTAGTGTACAACCTTACAATAAGTGGCTTTGCATTTGTGGAGGAGTATTTTCAGAGCAAGTTTCTATCAGTTGGCTTATTGGTCTAAGATTAAATGCAAAAGCGTAGTCATGTTAGTAGATGGGCAAAAGCGTTTGAGGAGGAGGGAAGGGCAAGCACAGGGCAGCAGGACAGGGCAGCAGGACAGGGCAGCAGGACAGGGCGTTGCGCTGTGCGGCTGCTGTGCGGAAGGAGCGGCGAGGAGGCTGCAGAAGGAAACGGGGCAGGGGATGAAAGTGGCTGCTCGTGGTTCTGTGTACTGAGGTCAGCTCACCGAATTACGGCACTGTTTCCTGTATTCCCAGCTGATTGCAGCACACTTGATAAGCAAAGAATTAATGTATTGAGCCTGAAATTCCCTGTGTAGCCCAAGAGCTCGGGACCTTCCTGATTCATCCTCCCAAATGCAGAGATCACAGGCGTGATCCCCCATGCCTGGTCTCTTCTTAATGTCTGCTCCCAAGGGGCTGAAGCAGCAGTAGGTGGTAGTGTGTTCCTCTATCTGTTGTATTTCTGTACTTGGTACTAAGTCCCGAGCTGTGCTGTCCAGCACTTCAGCCCCCAGCCCCATTTATCGACTTGAAATTTGGCTAGTCTGAATTGAGGCGTGCTTGCTCTATATTCTGGATTCCAAAGGCTTAGTATCAAAAAGAATTAAAATAATAATAATTTTAAAATGTTGATTATATGCCAAAATAGTATTCTTTTAAATATATTGGGTGGATGACAATGCACAGTGTATGTACTGTTGTTGGTCCCTGACATGCTTTGAAATTTTGTTGTTGTTTTTCTCCTTTTTTCCTTTAAATAAAGTGGGAAAAAAAAGAAAAGAGGAAAAAATATGTTGCGTTAAATAAATATGAAATTTTTTTTTTAAATTGGTACCGGGGATCGAACCCACTACCGCCTGCTTGCAAGGCAAGTGCTTATGCCGCTGAGCTAAATCCCCAACCCTCATAAATATGAAATTAATCACTTCTTTGTACTTCTTTGTTTAATGTGATTTATAGGAAATTTAAGATTGTATATGTGGCTCAAATCATGTTTTTATTTGTTAGCATGGTCTAGAGAGTTACTGAAGTTTAGGTGAAACATTACTTCCATTGGGTCATATAAGTGGTTTATAATCTTAGTTTGTTCCCCTCGAAGTGACACTAATTTTGCTAAGTCGCAAAGTTGCCTATATTAAGGATATATTTTGATCTCTTCCAAGATGTTCTGTTATAAAGATGCTTTTGTTAAAACTTCTTCAATAGCTTCTATTGCAGTTACTTTTTTTCTCTTTTAAAAAAAAAGCACTTTGGAACTTTCTGTTGAAAAGATACACTTTGAGTGCTTCTGTATCTCTCCAGAGTTTTACATATATATATTTTCTTTTGCAATTAGAAATAGATGGAGTGATACTTTGACACCTTAAGAATATTCTGCTCCCAATCGTTTTTACCTAACAGTTTAGTACCTGTTGAAGATACTTTCCTAGTAAATAATTTGTTGGGGGCTATGCAAAATGATTTTTTTTTTTTGTCTTTTTCCTTTTTATCGGTACCAGGGATCAAACTCACAACTGCCTGCTTGCAAGGCAGGCACTTATGCCGCTGAGCTAAATCTCCAGTCCCGCAAAATGATTTTCATATGCTGTCGTTTCTTTTTTCATAAGTAGTATTCTTCTGTACTGAACTATATTTTTCATTCTTTTTTAAAAGTGAGAATTAGTTATGTGGTATGTGGGTGAGTCACTTTATATAGTAAGTGTTTGATTAGGAAAGTTGGATACCAATGAAAATCATAAAATATTGAATCATAGCTTACATGTACAATGGTTGTTCACTCTTCAAGGGAAATGTACTGTAAATCTGGTTTTTTAAAAAAAATTTGGTTGTCATCTTGTTATTCGTGTAACTTGAATTTTCATGTATGACAATTACTCAGCACAGTGTAGAGTACTTACATGTGCAGGCACTGGTGAGCACTTGCATAGGGTGCTAAGAAGCTGCATAACTGTACTTACCGTGGGATGCTCTGTGGATGTGGAACGTCTCACCTAACATGGCGTTAAGGCAGTGACAGTTCTGGAAATGCAGTTAAGAAACTGCGTCCTACAAATCTTGATTTGGAAGTGTTACAGGCTTTTGCTAGCAATCCTAGGTTGGGAAATATTCTGAAGTTCAGAAGCTATATTGTTCTTTAGAGGACTGGAGTTACAGTACTCTTCTCATCTTGCTGCTATAGTTTGCAGTTTGCTCTTACTGTCTTTCTAATGTAGCATTGAATTATGATTTCAAATTCTACCCCTCGGTGTGCAATTTTGCCTAATGTTTGGTCCTCTGAAGACATTTCCCAGTGCTTCTGAGGTCCATCCCTCTGTGAAGCACGTCTTAGAGGCATATGTTAGTGGCTTTTCACAACAGTAGGGAGGCTCTTACCAGCCAAGTCCTGCTTAGTTCACTCGTATCCTTCTGGGCTGAGCAGGAAAGATGCATTACTTTCTTGGCATTAACAGTCAGTTCATGGAAGTGAAAGGGATTTCTAGGAGTCTGAAATAGCCTTAGACTCCTGTCTGGAATTGGAGAAGATCACGGATGGGAAGATCCTCCTGTCCCTGGTTTTGGGTGAGCTATGATAATCTTCCCGTCTTGATGAATTGGACCAATGTAGTCTAGAGATTTAAGAGAGGCCCCTGCTGCTTCTCAGCCATAGAATGACAGAAATCTGCAGTTTCTGAGACTTCCAAGTGAAGACCGAGTGAGTTATACTTAGCTGAAAAAATGTTTACTAGGGGTATGTGATTGTTGATACCTGAATATTTCCCAAACCTTCATGAGTTCATAAGTGGGGCTTTTGAGAGGCAATTGGATCATGGGGGCATGATCATGGGGTGGAGATCATCAGTAAATTTACAGCTAAATCTGATGCTGGGTGAAGCCTGGTCAGAGGAGCCTGCTCACTGGGTTCATGGCCTGAAAGAGTTTATCTCCCTCACTCTTTGCTTCAGCTCATCTCTGTTTTCTGACTGGCATGACGTAAACACATCTCTGCCATGCCACTGGTGCTTGGAGCCAGCTGATTATGGACTGAAACTTTTCCAAACGGAGTCAAGAGAAATCTCCCCTCTTAAATTGTGGGTATTGGGTATTATGTCTCAGTGACAAATGTGACTAAGAGTATCTCTTAAAGCCAAGGGACTTTTCATTAAAGATGTCTTCTGTATCTCTATTATTTCTTTTCAGATTGGTAAAATAGATACTTTAAAGTCTTTCATGCAATAGAATGTCTGTGAGTCTGTGAGTTATACAGCTATGATCTCAGATTCTAGAATACCAGATCAACATTCTTTTGAAGAGATATCTCACTTTAGGTTGACCCTAAGTCTAGAATCAGCCATCTTACTGCCAAAAGGAAGAGGGTGGCCAAGTGATAAAAAGACACTTCTTGCCATGAGTTGGTTTGGACCTTACTTCTCTAAGTGTTCTGAGGATGTTTCCTTACTCAAAACACACTCACCTCTGCTGTTTTCACTGATGTTATCTGAAGATGAACGTTTTATTTCCAACTTGAGGTAGGATAATATTTTCCTCCAGATTTTGCACTTTAGTTGAATTATCAAGCCGATCTCTTTTTGAGTCCTAGGGAAAAGGAAACTGGGCTTGGAAAGAAAGTGATTTCAGACCTTTCCCATGTGTACTTGAGAAGGGGGCAACTGATTAGTTCCTCCTGGCCTCGCTTGGCTGGTGGAGAGAACTGGCCTGGGTAAAATGATGTCTCTTTGTTCTTAGCTTACAGTGTTACACCCTGATCAAATGAACTTTATTTCTGGTGACTGCCAATAATTTCCATCCCTTTGACATCAAAACTCCTCAAGGGTTTTGGCTTTGGTTAAGAATGTGAAAGAATCCAGGAGACCCGAGCAGAAGACAGAATAAATTCCTAGTTTTGTAAGTTTGATTAAAGAAGAGAGTGACGGGGAGCCCTCCAGATAGTGTGAAGCACTGGACACATGAGGGCATGCAGGGGGGAAGGACTTAGCTGCTAGGGGAGGAGGAGGACGGCGTAGAACGAGGCCAACGGAGTCAAGGGCCCATCTCCTGACACTGGTCACCAGGGAGGAGGCCGGATTTCTAGGACTGTCCCCTGTCTCCCTACCAGTGAAAGCTGCCTACTACTGTTGATTAGGGTTAACAGCTTTCTTGGCTTGCCTGGGCCGGTACTGGTTTTAGCGCTAAACATTTCCCATCCCTTTAGTCCTGGGAAAGCTGTCACGGTTGATTACCCTGGCTAAGTTTTAAAGTATTGAGTTAGCACATGACAACTGCAAAATTGGCCCAATCACCTTTTTCCTTCGTTTTCAGGAAAGTATACACAATCCCCTAAGGAATGTACCAGGTTCAGAGATTAAAATAATATCTGCCACTGACTGTATGCTGACTGTGTGCCAAATGTATGGTCTTGGTTACCGCTCAGTGGCGGTAAGAGGAGTTAGTGTGTTTTATATCCAGTTTGATGGGACAGGAAGAGACCAGAGCTGAGGGATATGACTAAGTTTTATGTTTTCCAGGACCAAATAACTAGAGTGGATCCGAGGCATGTTTGAATTTTAATGTGCCTAAATCTGAAACTTGTGATTTTTCCACTAAATGAACTTGCTAAACGGACAGACTCTCTGGTCTAGCATGTACTGTGGCCAGCAGCTTCACCTTGTGTTTCCAAAGCCATTCTTGTTTTTCATGGTAGCATAAGATTTCCTGGGATAAATACAAAAAGGCAGTCCAGCAGGCTGAAATAGCTACTTTAGCCTTATCTGTGTAGCTGTCCCGATTCACCCTTCAGTTCTTAACAGGCTACTAAGTGCCTGGACTAGGATGTGCTCAGTGAAGGGTCGGGAGGTGGTTACTTTAGTTATGGCACCTGAGCAGGAATCTTGAACTGAAATGTCTTAGCTAATATGTGTAAACTCAAACATTTTAATTGAAAAATCATCAAAGATTTAATGTAGTAAGGAAAGAAAGAATATGCTTCTCTTTGAGTTTAATATTAGGTAAACCCTTTTTCCTCCGAGGAAAAGCTGGTCCTCTTGATTATTTGATTTGGAATTCATAGAAGACAGGCTTCCTTGCTGTGATAAAAGGTGTTATGCACATCATGCTAAGATAGAAGCAAAAAGTTCTATTTTGGGCTGCAAACTGTAAATAGTTTATTTCAGGAGAAAATCTAACCCAGGTGCTCAGCCCTAAAAAAATTCCTCTCCGAAATGAGAGCTGATAGAAGCTCTCAGCACAGTGATGGACATTCTCAGTGGGTAGGGAGTGACATTGAGAAGGAAAAGCCTTGGATTGTGCAGGGATGCAGAAAGCTGTACGCCTACCCTGCTTTTATTTCATCAGTGCACACCAGGAAGTTGTGCCTTTACTAGAGAAAGAGCTGCAGCTAACATCATACAGATTAGAGAAACTAGGTACGAGGAAGACTTGTACCACAGAAGAGACACGGAAGCCGTTGCATGCATGTTTATGATGTACCCACGAGGTTTTTAGGTACCGTGTGCTAGGTGCTGGGCAGGTAGAGAGGAGCAGCGTGTGCCCTGCTGGCCTCAAGGAAGCCACACATATAGGTAAACAAATATTCCAAGTATAAAAGCGTTTCCTTGGGGCCTATTACAAATATTCATAGATGTTTTAGGTTGCTTGGGCTGCCATAATGAAAGGCTACAGACTGAGTCAAAAAAATAAGAGAAATTCATTATCTGTAGTTGTGGAGGCGGGATATCTGAGGTGACTGTCCCAGCATAGTTGTTGGGTTTTGGTGAGCGCTGTCTTCCTGGCTTGCAGTGTGCTCACCTCACTGACCATGTTGTTTTCTCTGTGTACTTGGGGAGAGGCAGAGAGAAGGAGGGAGGGAGGGAGGGAAGGAAGGGGAGGGGAAGGCAGAGAGTGAGCTGTGCTTTCCTCTTATAAGGCTGCCAGTCCCGTTGGACTAGTGTCTCACTCCTCTGAAATAATTTAATAAGAGACTTAGCTCCATGGATAGCCACACTGGGGGCTAAGACTTCTACACAAGTTGTATGGAATAAAAGTAGTCCACAGAAGTAGGCTGTGACTCACATGAAAACATTAACTTGGGGTCTCTGTCTCTGTCTCCCCCCATCTCATTCTTCCCTTCTCTGTACATATAATGTATAATATAATATGTAATACATATTTATATTTATAAATTAGCTTTTGAAATTATTTGGCTATGCAATTCACTTGATTACTAGCTGCTACTTCTTAGCAATCATAAATACTTGGAAATCTTTGCAAAACAGGAGGATTTACAAATTGCTTTCCAGTACAGTAAAAATAAGTGAGTCCTACATTTGATAATTAATAAAATTAACTGTTAAATTTTTGTGTTTAAGTATTAATTTGCATTTTGTACTTTTTATATTTTGGAGCCAATACTCTTTGCAAATCTCACTTACATAGGCTCTTTTTAAAAAGCTTTTCAGTTTAAAGAGAAAATTTCACAACACAATACTTAGGGGATAACAATAGTATGTACATTGTGTAATGTTATCCTCAAACCAGTTACTCAGAGTCAACAACATCTTGTGTCTACAGAGGCTCTTAGACTCTAAGTGTTATCTGTAACACCTGATGGATGGAAGGGCTGGAGGCGACTCTCAGATCTCCTGCCCAGTCCTAGACAGATCACTACCAACCCCACATGTCTCCCAAGCTCTGGTGCAGCATTTCCATTTCTGTGAAGCGTCTTCTTGATGTGTCCCTGCGCTTTGGTTTGGGTCTATCCAAACCCTCTTCCCTTCCATCGTATCCCCTATTTCTGTTGCCATCTCCCCACACCAACACCACACATAGACAGTGGAAGACTTGGAGGCCGTTACAGTCACTGTCAGTGGTGTCCACGTCCACTGCTGACTGTTTATTTGGTCTGAAATGAGAGGCGAATTTACTTTTTCACAGCACAAATTCTTACGGAGGCTGCTCAAAAGGGGCACATGAGATAATGAAGCATGCCCAACATTGGACTCATCCGAGGCTCCTTCTACCCTACCTTGGCCCACATCTTCCATGAGGTAAAATGTCGCTGACCCTTCCCTATGGAAATCGTCAGCCATTCCCACTATTACAGTTCAAGAGAACCTAACTTTGAGCCTCGGAGAGAGAAGGAAACACCCAGTCCCTGGACTCAATTCCTTCATTCTGAATGGCACACTGGGAGTATCCATTCCTTCTAGAGAAAATCAACCCAGAGGTGTACTTTTTGGTCCTATGAGAACAAAGCATTCTCATTTGATATCAAGACATGTTCTGAATTGGCTTATTTACTTAAGTGATAGTATGGGTTACCTGCCATAGTGTAGTCTAGGTTTCCAATTTCTTGTCAATCTGTCTTCAACAAAGCTTCAAAACCCTTGAGATATAGCCCTGTCAGGTCACCTCGTAGTCTGATGTAGTGGTGTATGTGTGTAGTCCTGGCTGAGGCAGGAGGGTCCCAAGTTTGAACCCAGCCCGGGCAATTTAGAGATGTGGTAAGACACTTTCAAAACAATAAGTTGAAAAATACTTGAAGACACAGCTCAGGGTGAAGGTCTGGTTCAATTCCCAATACCAGAGGTTGGGGTGGGAGTTTGCCTTACCTTGTTATACCCACTCTGTGTACAATAAACTAATTACGTGTTCTTCTGTTGATTCAAGAACAAAACAAAAATACCTCAAGTAGTCTTTTTCATCTGAAACCACAGAAAGCAGAGAGCATAAGGCAACTAACCAAAGCCAGTCTTTAGGAATTGGCATGATGAGATTTCAAATATGTGAATTTTTTTGTCTTTTTGAGACAGGATCTCATATGCAGTTCAGGCTGGCCTCGAGCTCACTTTGTAGCCCAGGCTGGCCTCAAACTTGCAACGATCCTCCTGCCTCAGCCTCCCGAATGCTGGGATTACAGGTGTGTGCTGCCATATCCAGTTGTGGGTTTACTAAGCACTGGGAAATGTTGAGGCAGTAGACTGCATAGTGAATCGCAATAACAGGATTTGGAATGATAATGCCAACAAAAATATCATGGAAGAAGGTGTGGTGGAAGGGGAGGGAGGAGACAGTGAAGGCAGGCTGGACGCTGTTGGCTCCCTGTCTCTTTATCCCTCTCATCTTGCACCAGTGTTATTCTGAACATCTTGATTTCCAATTTAATCACCATCTTGACTTTCCAGGAGCCATGAGCTCGCCCGCCCTGTGGTGAAGCAGCCGGTCCGCGGAGCCAGTAACAGCGCCACAATCACCACGATTGTTGAGACTGGTGGGGACTGGAGCACTGGCCTCTTCAGCGTCTGCAGAGACAGGAGAATCTGTATGTCCCCCTCTTTGTTTAAGTTCCTCCTTACTATTTTCTTTCCCAAGGCATCAGTAAATGAATAAGCAACGTCAGACACAAGGACAGCAATCAAACGGATTCAGAACAACTGGACTAATCTTCTAGAGACTCACATTTATGCCTTAGCTGGAAAAATCTTGCTTTTCAGCAGTGTGGATGCTTGCATAGAATTCAAAGATTTTTTAAAATGACAAAAACTACTGTTAGCAAAGATGTACAAACAGGCTGTCTTATCTCTTGTCGGGGAGTGTGAATTGGTGTGGCCTTCCTGCTGGATGGCAGTCCATCGGAAAGAACTTCCAAAGTTACATAGATTTTGACCCAGTAATTCAGGTTGGTTTGCACTCGTTTTTCTTTTGAAGGTGCTGAGGATCAAGCTTAGAGTCTAGCACTGTTAGGCAAATACTCGCTGCTGAGCTATGTTTCAAGCCCAGTAATTACATTTTAAGGAAGGAATGAAATCATTACAAAGATTTTTCAGGAAAATTAAAAATTTTGGCAAAAGCCTGGAACAACATAAACATTCAACTGGGAGCACCATATGATGAATTATTATACAGTCATGAAAAGTCAGGGGAGGATAACATTTAATGAGATGAAAATATCTTTGGATACATTTTTAGGGTAAAGAAACAGATTGTAAACTATGTACATTAGATACCATTTTTAGGGTGGTATGCAAACATTTAGAAAAAAGTCTGTAAGGATACACATACAAATGTTTATAGCAGATGTCTCCAGATGGTAGACTAGTGAATAATCTTAGACTAATGAATAATCTTCCCATTTTCCTTCCCTTCCCTTCCCTTCCCTTCCCTTCCTTTCTCTCTCTTTCTCTCTCTCTCTCTCCTTTCCTTCCTTTCTTTTGGCACTGGCAAAAGAAGCCTAGCGACTTCTCACCAAGCTAACACTTCTAGCTGTTTTTTAATGTTAATTTTTTTATTTTGAGACAAAATCTCAGACTCCTAGAGTATAAGATTACATGCTCACACCACCATGCCTGGCTTCCTTATTATCTCTTAATATTTCTGTGAAGAATATGTAGTACTCATAACAAACTCAATCACAAAAATAAACTTCTTGTTGATTGAAATCTTCAGACACTGGTTCAGCTCTAAAGTACAAATCACACTGTCCTCTAGCTTCACAGTTTCCCCCTGGATTTTGAGTTAAAGCATATAGATTCTATTTTTACTTGAGAACATTCTGATCTACTTTGGAGACAACATGTCTGGAATCCACTCCAGGACTTGGCACTCTCACCTCAGAGAGAACTTGGTTTATAGAATGTCATGAAGAAGGTGATGGGGTAACCATCTGACAGATGAAAGGCAGTCGGTTAAAAATCTGAGAGACCCAGGTCTAATGTTTTTGAAGAATATGGCTCTCTCCATCCTGTGGTGGATTCTAAGAGCTTCTGAATGTGTCCTGAAGTATCACAGGATGGGTTAGCTAGCATGCTCTGAGCAAGCCTCCTTCAGCTAAAGGTCTTTCTTGTGGCTCTGAGCTCTGCAGGCCTCTTGTGGCTACTGCTGCCCATGTGGCTTTGGACCAGACCATGATGGTGCCAGTTCTCTGGTTGTCCAGGGATTTTTCTGTTTCTCTATTTTTATGATTTTGGTTGTCACTTGGTACCAAGGTACACAGAAGGTATAGTAGTCAGACACAGATGTGAAGATCTAGATTGAATTGCTAACTAGACCATTTTTTAAAATAACATATAGTTTGGGGCTGGGGAATATTAATGCAATTCCAGATAAGGCAAAATCTAGAATTTAATGGAGTGAAGAGAATAGGCTTGTAACAGATTCAAAACTCATCTTGAGTTTCCCTTGTGGTCTTACTGGCCATGTAACCTTAAGCAAGTTCTCCGTGTCTTCATTTTCCACTTCTAAAATGAAGATGAGGTGCCAACCTCAAGGGTTGTTGTCAAGATTAAAACAGATAATACACAGACCCTACTCTAATACTGTTTTTTTTTTTTTTTTTTTTTTGGTACTGGGGATTGAACTCATGACTGTGCACTTGCAAGGTAGGCACTTATGCTGCTGAGCTAAATCCCCAGCCCCTAATACTGGTTTTGATTAGTCAGGAATTGTTGGTTACAAGCTATGCTAGATTAATTAGTGTTTTCTTAAAATGTATGTTTGCGTGAAACCTCTGGATGTGACCTTATTTGGAAATAGGATGTTTGGAATGTGATCGCCTGGATTAGAGTAAGAAGGTTCCTCAGACCCTTCAGAAGAAACAAACTCTGCCAGTGCCTTGATCTTAGACTTCTAGCTTCCAGAATTTTCCAGTGAGAGAATAATTTGTTGTTTTAAGATGCTCAGTTTGTGATATTTGTAATAGCCCTAGGAAACTAATACACAAGTAAATGTTAGATTTCATTAGAAGGCTATAGAACAGCTCATAGTATCAAAAGATTAGCGGGAAACCAAGCTCAGAAAGGATGAGACGGATTATTGCCAGGAACTTACTGACAGTCTGGTCAACATTGAATATTTTTATTCTTGTGTCATCCTGCCTGAGAATTGAAGTTTTAGCAGCTGCTATGGCTCAGTTTGCCTAGTTTAGATCACATGTCTACTGCTTGTTGAAGCCGGTCAATACTGCTCACAATAATGAAGAAATAATTTCCTAAATTTACTATTAGGGTGGTGTCACTAACGGAATCGAAGCGAACATTACTGCAAAATGTTTAGTGAATCTTAGCTATTAAGATAATTGTCACTCTGTATTTTAAAATTTCCCTTTGGCATATTGAGAGCGAAGAGTAGAGACATCAGGCTCACCCTAGATGTTTCCATAATTTCTATGTAATCCCAAGAGCTTCTAAAAAGCTGGTCAAAGAGACTCATTCCTCAACCATTCTTTTTACTTGAACACTGTTTTACCACTCAGCTCTTTTCTAACCCCATCATGTTTGTGGTATAATTACACAAAATTTCCTGAGGATTCCCTGGTTGTCCATGTGAGAATCTACTCTAGTCACAAGGGCAGAAGGAAGGAGATGTGGAGAAATATAATACGCTGTACAATTGGGCACGAATGGTGAAGGAGACCTGTGGGTACAGCATTTGGAATGATGCTGAATGTTGTGTTCAGTTTCCTAAGTGGACCTCTATTTATGAATTCTCATAGCGACTCTGATTGAATGGTCTCAGAAGAAAATCCAAAGGTGGTATCAGTTTGTGCTCTCATTATCTGCACCATAATTCTGAGGATGCAGTTGAAATCTGAGTGTTATGAATCTTGGATTTTTTCCCCTCCTTGTTTCAAAGGACTGTTAATTGTAAATTATTTCATCCTCAAAGTTTCATTGTAAGTAAATCACAATGCAAGGAGTGGTGATAGACTTAAGAACAAAGGAGTCTTCTTTTCTTGACTGTTCTATGCCAGAGTCCCACCCTGGGACATTTCTCCATCAGAAGCTGAGAATTACTGCTACCTTTGTCAACCATTAAGCAAAGGGTACATTGTGAACAGCAGTGCTTTCCATTTCTTTTTGACATTTTATGTCTTCATTTTATCATAATTATTTTAAAAAATTGCCCCCTTCGCCCCAACTTTCTGCTTCAGACTGCGCTAAGATTCTGAATTCACACTGTAGAGATTAGTAAATGGATGTCTCCATGCCCCTTAGAGATAGAGTAGCTGAAAATTTAAATGTGAAGAGGAAGCCAGGGGGAAGTAAGTAGCTGCTAAGTGACATTGTGGTAAAAGTCTGGGTAGTCTGGCATTGGAACTATTTGTGATGTTACTGCAAAGAAAGTTTATATGAATGGTGTAATCCACATTAGCTTGTAATTCAACCAATATTTACTGAGTTCAAACCTACGTAGGGGCACTCCCTGCACGTTACAGGCACAGTAGTGAATCAGGCAGAGATGATTTTTTTAAGATGAAGTAAATAAATCAGTAAGCAAAATAACTGCAATTGTGATAAATGCCATGAAAGAGATAAACAGGGTGCTAAAAAGGGAAATTATACTGGATGGGGCAAAGGAGGACCTTTCCTGCACTTCATTTTAAACTCATACCTGAGGAATATGAAAGCGTCAGCTTTTCAAATAATTTACCTGTAAAGGGTAGTGTAAGCACCAGCAGGAAAAGCTTTGGTTCCTACTGGAACCCTTGAAATGCCCAAGGAGGGAAGATGAGATTTTCTTTGATAAAGGAAAGAGGCATGAAAAGGTGTCAGACTGGGATCCACACACTGCATCTCAGGTAAACTACATGGAAATAAGGACCATGGCTATCTCTCATTCATTGCTACGGAGCCCAGGGCAGCATCTGGCCCGCAGGAGGAGACACACAGACATTTCCCAAATGACACACTGAAATGCATACATTTATCATTTGCTTCTGTCAAGCATTTGATTGCAAGAGTCGGTCTTGGAAGGGAGGTAGCAATCCACTGGTCTGATTTGCCCTAATCCCCCCTGCAGCATACCTGGGGTTGCAGATAGCCTCAGCTTTCTGAACGCTCACAGGGTGGAAACCCCATTGCCTTTGGAGTCAGCACAGTGTGTTTTCCAAATTCGTTGAATAGGTTATTATGAAAGTAGTTCAGAATTCAAAATTACCCTTTTCGTATATAAAAACAGGTGCTCCATCTTTTTTTTCCTGTCCACCCAGTTCTTCTCTCTACAAACAACTACCCTTACTTGAGTCCAGATATTGTCCATGTGCTTGTAAGGATATAAAGGTTTTTAAAAAATAAAATGGATTTTAATTTTAAACATATATAGTTATTATAAAAAATAAAAATACAAAAGATTATAAGAAAACAGTGTTCTGTAATTGTGACTCCTGGAAATAGCTTTTTAGTACATATAATATAAACTCATATAAAACTGTAGAACTGTAAACATTCTGCACCTTGGTTTTGTTTTAACAATACGTTTAGTTTATTAGCTCATACCACCAAATCTGGAGCTAATTTCTTTTTTTTTTGTCTTTTTTCCTTTTTA